CCCGCTCTTGTGTGCACAGCGTATAGTGCGGCGGCTGCGGCAACGGCTGCCCGGGTGGAACAAGAGGTGCTCGCCAGTGGTGTGCGGTGTGGTGGAGGTGCTGCTGCCGAGATGGACGTTGTGGTGTTGGGCATTGATGATATTGCCGTGGATGAGTTTTCAGCATGTGGTGTGGGATACCACGTGGTCCAGGCGTGTCTGTCCTCTTGTGGTATGGTGGATGTATGCATGATGTTATTTCAGCCCCACCACAGTGTTCAGCGGATGGATGGTATTGACATTATTTCTAAACTCTTTCCACATGCCTATCCTGGCAACAGCAGAGATGATGGAAGAAATAATAATAACAGCATGAATAATAATAATAATAATGCTAGAGTGTCCCTGGCCCATATGGCGGCCTACACGGAACTGATGCAGACAGTGACGAGCAGTCCTTCATTTTGCCGTGTCATTCAAACCTCCTCCTTATTGTTGCAACTACATCTAACGTCTGTGGTGGTAAATCTCTGGTGGCTGCAGGGGGCACACATCCAGCAGTGTCTCTTTCGCGATGGATGCAAAGATGAGTGGAGGCCATCTCTCTTTTTGTGTTTGTTGAATGTTTCTGATGTGGCAGAGTTGCAGATGCGACTGAGCCTTGTTCTCCCACAGCACTGTGTGAGAAAGGGCCCGAGTCACTGTGGGCGTGAGACCCACACTTTGTCTGTGCCCGTGGAGAGAACACAGCGCGGGGTGCGGGATGAGACGCACCGGCAGTTGTTGAGCGCCAAGCTGCAGGAGAGGCGTGGGGAAGTGGAGCGACTTGCGGTGTCTGTTGAGCAGCAGCAGGCGAGGAATGTGAGGATGGAGGAAACATTACATTCTCTGCGGGAAACTGCGCGGGAGTTGAGGATAGAAAAGGATCACTTGGGGCGACAATCCCACACTATTGTGAATGCGAGGCGGCGGAGTGTAAAGGAGCAGCAGGCGGAACTGGTGGCCTTCAACACGGCAGAGGGACAACGCCTTGCGGCTCTCCGCCGGGAGTACGAGAGGGACGTGCGGCTGGAGATGGAACACCTCGCGGAGCTGCGGGCGCGGTGTGGCCAAACACGTGAAGAGGCGGAAAGACGTGCATGGCAACAGACCGTCAGGCTGCGCAAGCAACTGGACACTGCGCACGAGATGCGGGAGAGAATGCGTGATGGTGTTTCACAGTGGCGAATGAAGGTGCGAGTGCAAAGAAGAAGAAAAAGAAAAGAAGGAGGAGGAGGAGGAGGAGAGGTGGCTGCAGAGTCCCCATCACAACAAACACAAGAGAACCAACAACAACAAGAAGAAGAGTATGAGATGGAGTTACACCGGATTCATAGAGATACACTGAAGGTTTCCCAAAAGCTCACTGCACTGCGTCAGGAACGAGATGAGCTTGAAACTTTGAAAGAATGGTGGAGAGCAAAGGCAGAAGAGGAAATGGAGGAAGAAGAAGAAGAAGATGATGATGATGATGAGTTTAGCCAAAACACTGATGTGGCATGGGAAGAGACGGATAAATGGAGAGACATACTGCAGAATGCCCTAGAGGAGGAAGAGTCTATGGCCCGACAGTCTCTTTACGCTATGGAATTAGCCGCAAGAAGGGAGGACTGTGAATGGGAATGGTGTGTGCAGTCACACTTCAAAGGATGTGCATACACTGACAGTGACCCACATCTACACCAACAACAGAAACAACAACAA